GGGGGGACTTGACCCTGATCACCATTTGAGCCTCTTTTTTGGGGGGGGACGACCCACTGTCTTATTAATAACCTGAAATGAAAGCGAATACCTGAGCGAGAAGAGAATGCTGCAACACTGGAGGTTTTTAGGAAGAGATTGGACAACCATTTGTCTGAAGTGGGGTAGGGTTTCCTGCCTGAGCAGGGGGTTGGACTAGAAGACCTCCAAGGTCCCTTCCAGTTCTGTTATTCTATCTATTCCATTCCCCATCCCTTGCGTATCCTATCCTTCCCTATGCCTATACCTATCCTATCCTAATTAATATTGGTAAACCAAGGTTGAAAGGAGAGATCTTTGTTGCTCTCTTGATCTTGGTGGTTTCCCTGCAGACATTTCACGACCCAGCTGGGTAACGCCATCAGTGTTAGAAGGGAGCAGAGTGTGTGGAGAGGAGGAGGAGAAGAAGGACTGTGGGGTCCTTGGTGCTCTCTGATCTTAGTGGTTTCTTGCAGATGTTTCATGACCCATCTAGGTAACATCATCAGTGCTAGAATAGAATAGAGGGGAGGGAGAGGAGGAAGAGGATGACTGTGGGGTCCTCAGTGCTCTTTGAGTTTAGGATTAGGGTTAGGTTGGTTGTTTTCTTGCAGATGTTTTATTACCCAAACTAGGTAACATCAGTGAATAGAATAAGAGTAATAACTTTATTGTCACTTTGAATGTACACTAATCGGCACACATTAAAATGAAATTTCATTGCATACATCTCAAAGGGTCACCATCTCCAATGTAGACTGCATAAACGTGACAAAATAAATAAATACAAAATTATGCATATACCCACATATATTATATGACCCAGTGAAACTGCACAGTGTAGTTTGCATGTATACATGCATATGGTGAGAAAAATGAATCTTGCAAGTTTACTAGGCGGTTGGCATAGGGAACAAAGCTGTTACAGAATCTGGTAGTCCTGCTAGAGATACTTCAAAACTTCCTTCCAGAGGGGAGCAACAAAAGACCACAAAGTAGGTGGCTGGGGTCTCTGACAATGCTTTTGAGCTCTAAGCACATAGCGCTTATAAGCAATATCCTGAATAACAGGAAACAGTTGTCCTATAATCTTCTCTGCTGTCATTACCACTCTCTGTAGGGACTTTCTATCTGAGGCACTGCTGCCACTAAACCAAACAATGATGGTGTTTGTTAAAACGCTCTCAGTTGTGCCCCTATAAAAAGTGACCAGGATAGAAGGAAAAAGATATGCTCTCCTCACCCGACGCAGGAAATGCAGATGCTGGTTTGCACGGTTCGCTAAGGATGACGTGTGGGGAGACCAGTTCAGATTGTTAGTTATCTGCACCCCCAGATACTTAATACTGTTGACCACCTCTATAGCTGCATCCTTGATACTGAGTGGAGTATGACTATGCTGGCTAGAAGGGAGTGGGATTTGCAAAGTGGAGGACGACGACTGTGGGGTCCTTGGTACTCTCTGAGCTTTCTTGGTGACATTTCATTACCCAACCAGGGTAACATCTTCAGTGTTACCTATTTGGGCAATGAAGCCTCACCAAGACAACCAGCAAGGTCAAGAGAGCATCAAGAATCCTGCAGTTCCACTTTGAGCTGCAAATATTCTATCTGTAACGACAGTGAATGAGCCCATTTAACAAAGGAGAAATCACAGTGGAGACTTGTTAATGGACATTTTATATCTACACTTTTTTTTTTTTTTAAAGGCCCAGTGTGGTCAATAACATGTCCTCCTGAATATCTAGTGAGGGTATGACAAAAGAAGTGAATAAGTAAGAAGTAAAACAATGTATGGCTGTGAAAGTTGTACCATAAGGAAAGTTGAGCGCCAAAGAATTGAGGCCTTTTGAACTATGGTGCTGGAGAAGATTCCTGCAAGTCCCTTGGACTGCAAGGCCGTCAAACTGGTCAGTCCTAGAGATCAACCCTGACTGCTCTTTAGAAGGCCAGATCCTGAAGAGGAAACTCCAATGCTTTGGCCACCTAAGGAGAAGGAATAACTCCCTGGAGAAGAGCCTCATGCTGGGAAAGATGGAGGGCAAAAGAAGAAGGGGACAAGAGAGAATGAGGTGGTTGGATGGAGTCACCGAAGCAGCCGGCGTGAGCTTCAATGGACTCCAGAGGATGGTAGAGGACAGGAAGGCCTGGAGGAACGTTGTAATCCAGCCTTAAAGGGTTAAACACGGCAGGATGCACATAGCCAAAAATTTTAGAACCAGCA